ATCAGTCTTTGTTTGTTATATCGGTCCACGATATCGTATAACCTCTATGTAACGGTACCCACCGATATTCGGTATTTTAATGATTTTAGTCAAAATTTCTCAATAGAATTGTCTGAAAATCCATACCAGAAGTTCCTTCCGAGTACTCTACCACCTGGAAGAGAATTATCTATATACGTCCACGATATTGTATAGCCCCCATACAACGGTATCCCCGATATTTTGTATTTTGATGATTTTAGCGACATTTTGACCGGAATTGTTTCCAATTTCGTATTTAAAGTTTGAAGCTCGTAATGAGTACTACAACCTATGACGGAGAATTGTCTATAGCCCACATATAATGGTACCTTCCTTTATTCGGTATTTATACCCTACACCACAAGGTGGTCAGGGTATTATGCCTTTGTGCATTTGTTTGTAACAGGCAGAAGGAAACGAGATAGACCCATAGTTCCTTTTAATGATCTGCATAGAATCACATTCTGAGTCGATTTATGCATGTCCGTCCGTCTGTCCGTCCGTCCGTCTCTCCGTCTGTCCATGTATTTTTGTAAACAAAGTACAGGTCGCATTTATTGTCCGATCCAGTTAAAATTTTGCAAAAATCTTTTGTTTGGCCCAAGGACGAACTCTATTGAAATTGGAGATAATCGGTCAAAATTTAGATATAGCTCCCATATATATCTTCATCCGATTTGCCTTTTATTGTGCACCAAAAGTGTAATATCAGCCCGAATTGTATGGATTTTTGCATATACACCTAAATTAGGCCTGAAAATATGTATATCAAATTTGATCGAAATCGGTTCAGATATAGTTATAGCTCCCATATATATTGTTCATCCGATTTGTTATTTTTGTCCACCGCCGCCGTAATATGCACTATGCAACAACAATATTTGAGGAAATATATCAAATACAGCTCAGAAATACATTTGCTAAATTTTATCAAGATCAGTTCAGATTTGGATATAGCTCCCATATATAACTTCGTTCGATTTACCTTTTATTGTGCACCAAACGTCTAATATTCGTCTAAATGGGATGGAATTTGGCATTTACGACCGAATTGAGTCTAGAAGCTAGTATGTCAAATTTGGTGAAGATCGGTTCAGATATAGCTATAGCTTCCATATATATTATTCATCCGATTTGTTGTATTTGTTACTCACAACCGTAATATGCACTCCGTAACAACGATATTCAGGGAAATATATCAAATACAGCTCAGAAATATCTTTGCCAAATTTTATCGAGATCGGTTCAGATTTGGATATAGCTCCCATATATATCTTTATCCGATTTCAAATTAATTGTGCACCAAATGGGCAATACAATTCCGCATTTAAAAGATACAAAAGCTTCGGCATATTTAGTCCTTTGTAATTTAAATTATAATCATAACGTGTATGATTAAAACTTTTAATTGTTATGTGGAGCTCTACTAAATTAGCAAAGTGGTGTAAGGTATCATAAAGTCGGCCCTGCCCGACTTGCAGGTCCACGTCTTTGTATAGCTTCCGTATTCAAGTAGTATTTTTCGACGGATTTTTTTTTAATTTTTCAAGGTCCCTAAAAATGGCTGAAGGGTATTAAAAGTTCGGCCCGGCCGAATTTTTTAAATCTTTATACCCTTTTTTTATACCCACATAGTGGTAAGGGTATTATGTTTTTGTGCATTTGTTTGTAACATGGAGAAAGAAACGAGATAGACCCATAGTTCCTTTTGATGATCAGCATAGAATCACATTTTGAGTCGATTTATGCACGTCCGTCCGTCTGTCTGTCCATATATTTTTGTAAACGAAATGCAGGTTGCATTTATTATGCGATTGAGATGAAATTTTCTAAATAACATTGATGAAATGAAATTTTCTAAATAAATTTTCTAATAACATTGGTTTGGCTGAAGGACAACCCTATTGATATTGAGGAAAATCGGTCCAAATTTAGATATAGCTTCCATATATATCTTCATCCGATTTTAGGTTTCTAGTGCACCAAATGGCTAATATCAGTCGAGATGGTGTGAATTTTGCTACATCCGACCGATTTCAGCCTACAAGCATGTGCGTCAAATTTGGTGAAAATCGGTATATTTGGAAATCGGCATATATATGTTTCATCCGATTTTTGGTATTTAAGTCCCTTACAATCGTTATATGCACTCCACAAGACAGATATTTACCAAAATATATCAGATACAGCCTAGCAATTCAAAGATCAAATTTTATCAAGTTCGGTTCAGATTTGGATATAGCTCCCATATATATCTTCATCCGACTTTAGGTTTCTTATGCACCAAATGGCTAATATAATTTCAAATGGTGTGAATTTTGGCACTTCCGACCGAATTTAGTATAGAAATAAGTACTTTAAGTTTGGTGGAAATCGGTTCAGATATAGCTATAGCTCTCATATATATGTTTCACCCGATTTTGGTGTTTAATTCCCTTACACTCGTAATATACACCCCATAAAATGATATTTGGTACCAGATATTAGATTCAGCCTAACAATACATTATTCAAATTTTATCGAAATCGGTTTAGATTTGGAAAATGAGCCCATACATAACTTCGTTCGATTTCGGGTTAATTGAGCACTAAATGGCCAATATCAGTCCAAATGACCTGCATTTTGGCACATCCAACCAAATTAAGTCTAGAAGCAAGCACATCAAATTTGGTGAAAATCGGTTCAGATATAGCTATAGCTCCCATATATATGTTTCATCCGATTTTGAAACAGCCTGAAGTTTGGCACATTCGGCCAAGTTTAGCCTAGTAGCAAATACATAAAAAATTGGTTCATAGCTGTTTTCAATTTTATAAAGATCGGTTCAGATGTCGATATAGCTCCCATGTCATTATCCGATTTCAGGTTTATTGTGCACCAAATGGCTAATATGCAAATGGATTTTCGCATTTCAACCGAATTTAGCATAGAAGCAAGTCTTTCACATTTGCTTCCATATATATGTTTCAACCGATTTGGTGTTTAAATCTCTAACTTTCGGAATATGGTGTAGGGAATCATATAGTCGGCTTCGCCCGACTTTTGAGCTGTCCTTACTGGTTCAAATAATCTCCGTTTTTTTTTGATATTTCAACCCCTGTGCGACGACTAATGCAAAAAAAAATCATCATATTTTTATACACTACAACACAATGTGTTGGGGTATTATAAGTTTGATTGGGCCAAAAATTATGTAACACCTCGAAATATTGATTTCCCACATAGGAAAGTATATATGGATCTTCCTATCTCGCCGAGCTGAGTCGATCTAGCTATGTATGTCCGTCCGTCCGTCTGTCCGTCTGTCCATGTTAATTTGTAATCACTCTACAGGTCGTAATTATGGCCCGATCTTCACGAAATTTAGAATGGAGGTGGGGCTAGGGTCAGAATAGAACCCTATTTCTTTTGGTGATGATCGCATAATATTTAGGGGTCGAAATGGACCAAAAACTGAAAAAATGTCGGATTTTGCAGTAGCTATACAGGTCACAATTATAGACCAATCGACGCGGAATTTTGCATGTAGCTAGAGTTTAAGGCGGGGAAGAAGCCTACCAATTTGCGAGGTCATCGGAAAATATTTAGCGGGTAAAATAGACCATACCTTTTGTGTTGAAAAAATTCAAAATTTTTCATTAAACCGCGAATATTTTAAATCCCGGCGAAATCACAAAGCCATGACAAGGTTACTTCTGATCTTTACATTGATGTTAACATCCATCAAATCGGATATATAGCAAAATATTTGCGATATATATGTCTATCAAGGAGGATATGCTTGAAAGATCTCTTATATGTCGAGAACGGCTGAACTGATTTCGACAGTTCTCATTAATTCAGAATGGCCTCTTGGCAGGAAAGAAACAACGTCTAAAAAATCGCATTAAAATATCTCTCTAAAGATGAAAATATTGATTTTGTAAAATTTTCTCATATTTTTTCAATTTTGTCATATTTTCATTTTGAATTAAACATTTGGTAATATTTCTACTGCTAACAAAACTAAGTAGTTAGGATATCAGGATATCATATACAGATCGCATTTATGGCCCGATCCTTACGAAATTTTGCATGGGGATAAGATGAGGGTCAGATTAGAAGCCTACTCTTTTTGGAGATGATCGCCATATATTTAGGGGTTGAAATGGACCAAAAAACTGCAAAATTGTCGGCAGGTCATAATTATCACCCGATCCTCACGCAAATTTGAATAGGGGTTACCGCGCATTACAAAAGCCAAGCAGTTTCGAATGGCCATCCAAAAATATTCAATGTGTGAAATAGTTTGCCAACTTTTGTAGACAAAATACGAAAATGTCCATTCCAGTGACTTTTTAGAGAATTCGCAAAGACAGGAAAGACGCACTTCTGACTTCGTTAACGCTGATTCCGTTGAAGAATATAGTCAAATGTCTGTATCTCTTATAGATGCGTTTCAGTCAAAAACCAATAATAAATGTTAATCTTTTGCAACTTCTGAGAGATTATAGGTCTTCGGGAAATATTGGTTCCAGATCTAGGAAGACCATTTACGTGCAACATCTACCAATAAATTGGAAATGAGCAAATTCGTTTAAATTGCTATTATTCGAAAATTAGAGAACGAAACCTGATGGTTTTCTTTTATTATTTGTCACAATATCTTGTGGAATTCTTTCGAGTATCTCGCCTATATAAACTATATCGGTTATTATAGTGTTGTAGGGTATTCAACATTCGGCCCCGCTCGACTGTAGCCTTTGCTTACTTGTTTTTACTTAGAGTTACTTAAAAGTTACTTAAAAAATTCCACCAGAAAAAAAAAAACATTCTACAACCCAGAATACTTTCTCTAAGTGTATTTTGAAAATTACTTTCATAAAGACATTAAAAAAAAAATAAAAAACAAACCACAAAAAAACTTTTAATCAAAAAATTGTGTCCTTTCAAAATTTATCTGTATTCCTTTTCCAGAAAAAGTATGTCCGCCCGTCTCTCGAATTCGAGACATTTGGTTATTGCAAATAAAACTCCCACAACTTTGGCCTCACTTCAAAATTTAAGGTAAGAAAGATTTGTAATGAATACATCTGTACAAATTTCTATTTCTTTGCTTAATGATGTTTCGAAAAAAAAAACATTTTTTGGAAAACATTAATTTCCATACAGGGATGTTGATTTATCGTCACTTCTGTATTAATCGTCGTTTATTTCCAGAAATCCCGTAAATTATATTGTAAGTTTAAAGCCGTACAATGAGTCATTGACGCGCCATGGAAAATATCTTAAAAGGCGGTGGTCTCCTCGCAATAGAAATGACGACGCTATTCAACAAGTTATTGTCGAATCTGAAGATATATGGAGAGGAAGAAATATGTTGGGTAAGCTGATATAATGGTTTTGTTTAAAATGTTTTGATTCTAATGAAAATTGGTTGTAATATGAAGCAACCATTCTTTTCTAAAAGATAAATTAACACGATTTCAAGTTCTGAAGAGAGAGGGAGAGGTCTGCAGAAATAGTGGTATTCTACTCATTTATATACCCTCTAATATTGACTTTAACTTTGTCATTCGTTTGCAACTCCTCGAAATACTCATGGTAGACCCTACAAAGTATGTATATTCTAGATGAGCTAAAATTCTAAGTCGATTTAGCGGAATCCGTCTGTATGTTGTAATACCGCTATCTAAAACACTTGTGCCAGTAGGCAGGTTAAGTTCGTAAATGGGTCATGTCGATCCAAGTCCCAATCTTCGGTATTTTTATGATTTTAGAGACATTATAGAGAGGAATTGTTTCAAATATCGTATTTGAAGTTCGTAGTGCAGGCCCTCGTCTTCGTATAACCCCTATGTAACGGTTTTCATTTAAGCGTTTTTTTGACAATTTTCAAATTCTTTCCAAATGGTGAAGGGTATTGAAATGCCGAAGACATTATATATGTAAAAATAACGGATTCTAAGGAATCTTAATCTGAAAATGTGGGATATGAGGAATCTTGCTTAGCTTACTTTGCGATGCAAACGCCGATGTGTGTGACATGTGACATGTGTGTTCTATTTTAATACCCTACACTATACATAGTATGGAGGGCATATCAATTTCGTCATTCCGTTTGTAAATCATCGAAATAATAAATTTAGACACATCCAAGTATATATTTTTTTGATCATGTTGTTGCAAAATTCTAAGACAATTATAGCCCTGTCCGTCCGTTCGCCTGTTCGTCTGTTTAATCACGCTGGAAGAGTAATTTCTGTATAGCTCCACGAGATCAAATAGTCTAATATCCCCGATATTCGATATTTTTACGATTTTAAGGACATAATTTACCGGAGTTGTCGTAATGGGCACAACAGGAGGTCCAGGTTTGCGTATAGCCCCGATATAACGGTAACTACCCATATTCGGAATTTTTATGATTTTAGTTTTAGATTTTAGTTTAGAAGTTTCGCATTTCAATATTGTAATGGCTTATAACAAAAAGTTGCCCATAAATTCGTATAGACCCCAATATAATGGCTATATTCGGTATTTTTAAGATTTTAACAGAATTTTCAACTGATTTTATTTTATTCGTTCGAATTTACTTTTTTTACATGTTAGCTTTACTTTCGTAATCTGGTGGATTTCCTTGTAATATTTTATGTCCTCCACCATACATACTATGGAGGAAATATTAAGTACGCCATTCCGAAATAATATTTAATAATAATTAACTAAATATATATATTCTTGATCAGCGTAAAATTCTAAGACGACTTAGCCATGTCTACTTAGCTCATGTCTAATTTAAGAATAATTAGTTTTTTCCTTCCGCTGAACGAATATGGTAGGGTGTGCACTTGAACACCGCTGGGAAATATTGCGATATTACTTTGAAAATGAATGCAATGTTGCAGAATGTGTACGAAAATTGCATACGGATATTGGAAGAAAAGAAGAACCGTCAGCTTCGTATGTAAACATGCTAAGTTGTCACATTTGGAGCACCAAAGAAAATCGAGCTGATGCACCCAAAACGAGTCACTGTTTGGTGCTAATTTTGGTCCAGAGGCATTATTGTAACATTTTTCTTCGTAAATAAACAAGGAGTGGTCGTTCGGTTATCGGGCAAAGTCAACGAATTTCTGTTCACAAAAAAAAAAAAAAAAAAAAAAAATACTTTCAACTCTGACATGTTACTCAAGTTATGAGAGAATAACTCAAAAATTTTAAGCCTTTGTGGGAAGGGTACCGGAATATGATAATCGATATATTCCATCTTCACACCAGATCTCGTGTTAGTGGAAATATTTGAATGTGTGACGCTTAGAAGAAATCCTGTGCTTATTTATCCCATTTTATGAGAGTTTGAGTTATTCCAAATTTAGATCCGTTGTGGGTGATGTCCTATTGATTACATCTTTATACCAGATATTGTCTTAGGAGTTGTTCGATATATCCCGTCTTCATACTAGACCTAATGTTAATAAAACAGGTAAAAAACAGTTAAATTCTTTAATACCCTCCACCATTTTGATGGAAATTGAAACATTTTCAAAAAATTACCCGCTAATATCATCAAAATACCAAATGAAGGAAGGTGCCGTTATATATGGGCTATATGAAGTCGTGGACCTACTTAGACAATTTTCTGTGATAGATTGTAGTTCCCTTTTTGAGCTTAAAGCACGAAATTTGAAACAATTCCGGTGAATAATGATCTTAAAATCATCAAAATACCGAATTTCAGGAGGTACCGTTATATGGGAGTATACGACGATGTGGACCTGCATATGCAATTTTTTGTCATAGGATGTAGTACCTAAATACGAAATTTGAAACAATTACGGTAAAAAAGTCGCTAAAATCATCAAAATAGCAAATAGGGAACTATACGATAACGTGGACATATATTGACAATTGTCTTCTAAAGGGTAATGTACTCAGAATAAACGCCTTATGTGGATTTTCAGGCAATTCCATTGAAAAATGTTGCTAAAATCATAAAAATACCGAATTTATATGGGGAAATATACGATATCGTGGACCTTTTTTTGTGGTGCCATTATATGTGGGCTATATGAAGACGTGGACCAACATAGAACATTTTTATACCCTACACCACATAGTGGTAAGGATATTATGTCTTTGTGCATTTGTTTGTAACATGGAGAAGGAAACGAGATAGACCCATAGTTACTTTTGAGAACCTTCATAGAATCACTTTCTGAGTCGATTTATGCATGTCAGTCCGTCTGTGAACAAAATGCAGGTCGCATTTATTATCCGATTGAGATGAAATTTTCCAAACAATATTTTTTTGGCCCAAGGACGAACCCTATTGAAATTGGTAAGAATCGGATCAAATTTAGATATAGCTCCCATATACATCTTCATCCGATTTCGGGTTAAATGTGCACCAAATGTCCACTATCAGTCCAAATTACCTGAATTTTGGCACACCCAACCGAGTTCGGCCTAGAAGCAAGTATATCAAATTTGGAGAAAATCGGTTCAGATATAGCTATAGCTCCCATATATATCTTTCATCCGATTTGATCTTTAAGTCCCTCACATTCCTACTATGCACTCCACAACCGTGATATTTGGTACCAGGTATTAGATGGAGCACAGAAATAGCTGTTTTAAATTTTATCGAAATCGGTTCAGATTTGGATATAGCTCCCATATATATCTTCATCCGATTTCGGGTTAATTGACCACCAAATGGCCAATATCAGCCCAAATGGACTGAATTTTAGTACATCGGAACAAATTCAGCCTAGAAGCAAGTATATCAAATTTAGTGAAAATCGGTCCAGATATAGATATAGCAACCATATATATGTTTCATCCGATTTAGTGTTTTAGTCCCTTACATTCGTAATATTCACTCCACAACCGTGATATTAGGTACCAGGTATTAGATGGAGCACAGGAATAGCTGTTTTAAATTTTATCGAAATCGGTTCAGATTTGGATATAGCTGCCATATATATCTTCATCCGATTTCGGGTTAAATGTGCACTAAATGGTCAATATCAGCCCAAATCACCTGAATTTTCGTACATAAGACCGAATTCAGTCTAGAAGCTAATACGTCAAATTTGGAGAAACCCGGTTCAGAGATAGCTATAGTTCGTAAAATGCACAATAGAATTAGATAGATTTTGATTTTGTACCAAATATCTCATAGAGCTCTGAAATGCCCTATAAACCTTTTTACGTGAGCTCTACTTAATATGCATAGTGGTGTAGGGTATCATATAGTCGGCCCCGCCCGACTTTTGAGCTTTCCTTACTAGTTTGTCATAGGTTTTAGAGCCCATTACGAGCAGAAAATACGAAATGTTAAACAATTCCGGTGAATAATGTCCATAAAATCATCAGAATACCGAATATAGATAGGCATTGTTATATGGGGGCGTGAACCTACATATACAATTTTTTGTCATAGGCTGTAGTACTCATTACGAACTGTAATTACTAAATTTGAAACAATTCAGGTAAAAAACGTCGCTAAAATCATCAAAATAGCGAATATCTTTATAGAGAATCCTCTTCCAGGTGGTAAAGTACTAAGACTAAGATTTCAGATAATTCCATTTAAAAATGTGTCTAAAATCATTAAATACCAAATAATAGGGGCTATACGATATCGTGGATCGATATAGCCCATCATCGTACTAGACCTACCTGCAGACAAAAGACTTGCAAAATTTTAGCTTTCAATCTTAATTTGTTTTGACACTCTAGATCTAGGTCTAAAATTATTATTTCGATGAGTAGGAGGGTATAAAAATATTGGAATGCGCGAAATTTAAAGACAATCGAAAGCTTATTTCGCATTTTGTGAAATGAATCAAAATTTTGACACAGGAAAGTGACAGGCTTCACACCATATTTCATTTTAGTAAAAATATTGGGTTATGCGAAATTTTAAGAAAATTGGAGCTCAATTTGCATTTTAGGATCGTTTTGGTTATTCAAAATGTTGACGCTATTCAAAATTTTAACGAGGGAGGTAACAGAAGGTGTGGGCTGATATCTTTCATACTCATAAGAGATCGTGTGTAGATAGATAGATAAATATTGAGACGTGGCGAGTTCTACGAGGTCCTGGCTATTCAAAAATTGGATCCGTTGTGGGGAAGGTACCAGAATTAGTGGGTCGATATATCCCATCTTCACACTAGATCATGTATTAATAAAAATATTTGGTTATTTGCCATTTGAAAACCATCGGGCTCTTATATCACATTCTATAAGAGTTAAAATTATTCCAAATTTGATCCCTTTTTCGAGAGGTACTTGATGCAGTGGGCCAGTATTGTGCATCTTAACACCAGACCTATCACTGACAAAATTATTGGTATTTACAAGGTTTGCACAAAATCGAATGATCTATCTTGTTCTAAAAGTTAAATTATTTTCTGTGAAAATTTGGACATTTTGTGGGAGAGGTGCCGGAAGGAGTGGACCGATATTACCCACCTTCGAACTAGATCTAAGTATGACAATAACATTACCATGTTTGGGCCAAATCGGATACTCCTTCGTGCGCACCAGCCAGCCAGAGAGAAAGACAAACGGACATACCTAGATCGACTTCAAATGTCCTGAAAGGGAGGGTCTAAAACCGTAATTTCGATGAGGAATGTTTTGGCCACATCAAATAATTTTTTGGCTTAGGCTATAAAAAGCTGAGTCTAGGTTCAATACAACACGTCCTCCTAGAGGTACAAACAAAAAAGGGAGTGTAATTTTAAATCAAATATTTTTATTTATTACTCTACACAAAAAGGACACTGGTAAAAACGAAGAATGGCATTGAACTGGAACAAAAAAAAAATTATTTACAAATACAGAAATCTTATTTCTATGAACTTAATTCACAATTTCCATTTTTTAAGAATTGAAATTATTGCAAAAATATATATAACAATTAAAAATAATCTTTTTTCATATTTACAAATCAGAAATGAAGCGTGTTGACATTTTAAAATGCCAACGATAATTAATTTGATAGCTGTTGATCCTGCGGCGGCTGCTGTTTCTGAAGTTTGAGAGCAGCATTTAGACGTTTCTTCTCTCTTTGACGATACATTTTGTTCTCATCGGCACATTTGGTGGTAATGGCATTGCGCACTTCTTTGGCCGTCAGATTGGTGTGCTGGGTCACCAGGTGAATAATATCGGCCACCTTTTGGGTGTCCAACTGATTTTTCATTGGTTTATCACAATCCATGAAGGCGGGTGAGGGTTTGCCGGTTAATGTGTGGAATGCCAGGGTTTCTCTGTCGAAAACTTCCATGAGAATTTTCCGGGTCAATGCCGCCCCTGATAGGGACCAATTAATGGCACTCAGGGCACTCTTGGCAATTGTTGTGCCATTAGGACCTATGACCACCATACCATCTTCGTTGGCAATGAATTTTTCGACTATTTCCGAATTGTCTGCCTTTTCGGGTTTTCGCGTAATGGGCGTGGAGGTGGCTGAAATTTTGACACGTTTATTTTGTTGTTCCTCACGTTTGGGAGTCTGTGGTTGTAACTCTTCCAGGGCAACCAGCGGTTCCATCATGGGATATGTTTCCATTTGTTTCTGATAGAAAGCCTCAAAATCGTCTTCGTTAATTTCAATGTTTTTCTCATCCAGCAGATCCTCAAGTTTTTCGATTTTCTCTTCCAACGCCTGAAGTTCTTCCACATCCTTGACCAGCTTTTCAATGGCTCTGCGTTTGCTGAGTTCCCATGTTTCCAAAACTTTAAGTTTCATATCGATAAGTTTGGCCTCATCTTTGTCGGTGGACACTAGCTTTGGCATGACCTCCGGCTGAGGTGGAGTTGCTGGTTCCTTGGGTGTGGTTAAATCTAAACCCACGAGCTCTTTGTTTTCTTCTGGCTGCGGCGGTGGTGGGGGCGGAGATGAATTCGCAGTTTCTTCTCTGAAAGCTTCCAAAATGCGACGCTTACGAATGTTCTAAAATGGGAAATAAAAATTAATAAATAGTTCTCTGGAGTGAAGCATGAATTTAGAAAACCTACCACTTGATGATGCATTACTTCGGCCATTCTGTCTGTAATCGGGTTTTGGTTGTGTTCTCAATGACAAGCGTTGGGTTAATGTTGCCTCTACACTTGGTAACATTCAAATATATACTCTAAATGTATAATTCGCGGTGCAGGCAGCAGGTGCTAACTGCTAACCCTGTTGATAGTCGCCCAAATTAACCGCCGTCGAACAGGTATAGCCTGCGCAGAATATTCCTTTCATTAATCTAACGCTACCTGTTGTTAATCCACGCACACACTGCTCGCTTGTGGGTTTCGTCTTCATGTTGCGCCTTTTTACAAATTAGGCTGGGAATTTCCCATGATTAAATTTCCAAACATGGGACATCCTTTAAAATGCTTCGACACTTAAGCAGAGCAGGTCAGTTCGTTTAATCGGCAATAATCTGAAATTTATTGAATATGCATTGTGTCCAATCAGGGGATTCCACGGCGTAGTACCACTGCACTGGTCTGCATTGAAGTGGGAGTGTCCAAAAAATCTAGTTCAACGGCATACATCGGATTTGTGTTCGTGTGTTGGTATCTATTGACGAATTTAAAATCCGAACATTAAGAAGAGACAGATTATGTTTTCCTGTGGTACTTGAGAGCATTTTGTTGCTCTACAGATGAACTAAATCTAATCTCGGCGCATTTGGAGTTGGGTATACAAATTAGTTGAAATAATAATTAGGTGGGATGACAGTTAATGGGATAATAACAAAATGCATAGTTGGTTGCGCACGAGGCCGAACTTATTGTAAACTAAAATTGGAAAATCTATCCAAATTATTGTGAACCCTTTTTAATAATTTATTTATCGGGTAATTTCAATAAAACTAATAATATCTAAAATAGAGTAGACTGCAATTATACCCTCAGCCAAATGGCATTTGATACGACCAAACGTGCCTCATCGAAAAAAACGGTTTTAGACCCTAGGTCTCTTTGGACCAAATCCGTTTTAGGGCATTTGGAGTCGATCTAGCGATGTCCGTCCGTACGCCCGCCTGTCTGTCTGGCAGGTTCGCACGATAACTCTCGAATCGGATAATCCGATTTTGCTCCAACTTTGAAAATCCTAATATTTGCATAAGTGCTAGGTCAGGTGCGAAAATGGACAATATCGGTCCACTCCATAAAATACCTCCCCCACAAAATTTTGAACAATTATAGCTCATAAAATGTGATGTAAGAACCCGATTATCCTCAAATTTCACACATCACAATATTTTTATTAACCCAAGGTCTGGTGTGAAGATGGAATATATCGGTCCACTTCTTATGGGATCTCTCCTCAAAAGGGTTAAAATTTTGAATAACCAAAACGATCACAAATAATAAGCACCCGGTTCTCTTCACATTACATATATCGCAAACCTTTTTATTAATCCAAGGTGTTGTGTGAAGGTGGAATATATCGGTCCACTCCTTCTGGTACCTCCCCCACAAAGGGTCAAAATTTTGAATATCCATGAAACTCATAAATCGTCGAAATTACATCTGATTCCCTTCAGACTTGGTACATCTCAATATTTCCATCAACACAAGATCTGTTATAAAGATGGTAGAGATCGGACCATTCCTTCTGGTATCTCCCCCACAAAGGTAAAATTTATAAAATCCGAAATAAGTATCCCGTTCTCTTCATATGTCAAACATTCCATTATTTCTACTAACACAAGATATGGTGCGAAGATGGGATATATCGGCCCACTCCTTCTTGTATCTCCCCACAAAATCAAAATTTTGGATGTCCATGAAGCTCATAAAATGCGAAATGAACATCCAAATCCATTTGGACTTAGCACAACTCATTATTTCCATCAACACATTATCTATTCAAATGTCACACAAATATATTTGCGAGCCTGTTCAGGTACCTCACCCACAAAGGGTCACAATTTTCAATACTCATATCTGTCTTAAATTGCGAAACAAGTCAGCGATTCTTTACTACTTGCTACATCTAAATTTTTCTCTCAACCAGAATCTAATATTTTTTTTCTTCATATTCAACCCAATTTTGTGCATTTCTTTGTAACATGAATTTATGCATGTCAGTCCGTCTGTCCATCCGTCCGTCCATGTATTTTTGTGAACAGGTCGCATTTATTATCCGAATGAGATGACATTTTCCATATATATCTTCAACCGATTTCGGGTTAATTGTGCACCAAATGGACAATATAAGCTCAAATGACCTGAATTTCGGCATATCCGACCGAATCAAGTACTTCAAATTTGGTGTAAATCGGTTCAGATATAGCTACAGCTCCCATATATATGTTTCATCCGATTTGTAGTTCAAGTCCCTCACATGCGTAATATGCACTCCACAACAATGATATTTGACACCAGATACAGCTCAGAAATAAGTGCGTGAAATTTTGTCAGATTTGGATATAGCTCCCATATATAACTTTATCCAATTTCAGGTTTATTATGCACCAAATGGCTAATATTAGCCCAAAAGAACTGAATTTTGGCACCTACGACGGAATTCAGTCTAGAAATAAGTACTTCAAATATTGGTGAAAATCGTTTCAGATATAACTATAGCTCCAATATATATGTTTCAACCGATTTGGTGTTAAAGTCAATCACATGCGTTATATGCACTCCACAACAATGATATTTCATACCGGACATCAGATACAGCTCGGAAATACCACTGCCAAATTTTATTGAGAGCGGTTCATATTTTTATGTACCTTTGATACACATCTTCATCCGTTTTTACGGATTATTGTTCACCATACATGTAATATCAACCCAAATCTAATATTTTTTTCTTCATATTCAACCCAATTTTTCCATTTAGTGAAGCTCGGTCCCTTGTATCTATAGCTGCAATAAATATATTTACAGCAATATTTTTTGGTACTAGAGGCACTAACGGCTCCGTCAAGTTTGTTGAAAATCGATTCGGAGTTGGGTATAGTTCCCAAATTGTGTCTATTCTAATACCATGACACGCATTCAAATAAGGTTCATAGTTGGTATCATGGTACAATGAATTCAAGGTAGGGCAGAACTACCATATGATTTCAATTTTTTTATTTTTCTGGCTTAATATGTCAACTATATTTGTTTATGTGTGCGTATACTTTTCAATAATAAAAAATTGTTGAGAAAATATTCAAATTAGGGTGTTTTCAAAATGCTTATTGCAACGAATGCATCGACAAAATCTACAGTTTTTGTCGCGAAATAAACCATATGAGACATGTAGAACTTGATATTGAAAAGAAATTTTGACCATTCATTCAGTTTTTGCGGTTTTAAATTATTTATTCAAAATCAATGCAACAAGTTGTTTGCTTTTTTATTGTTTTGATAGTAATTCTGACATTACAAGCCAAACAGGTAGACCTCTATATTTGCAATTTTTTCAAAGTTGACCTACCTTCTCTTCATTGTACCATGGTTGGTATGATCTAATTCACATAAATCGCCAATATAAACGGTTTCTATTATGGGAGCCCTATTAAATACGCATAGTGGTGTAGGGTATCATATAGTCGGATAGTAGTTCGACTTTTGCCCTTTCCTTACAGATTATTACCAAAAACGACCAATTTAAATTGAACAATATTTAGTACTTTTTAGGTATAAATTTGGTCAATAATCTCAGCATATCTGTAGGCCTATTCTTTAAATCTTATCAATTGAAAAGCTATTCGTTTGTTATGCAAATGAAGTTTTGAAGTTACAGAATAGGGGCAGGTGAAGTATATTGCGAAGGAGAAGTATTCGAATATATTTAAAAATTCTAATACTTCTCCTTCGCACTTTCTATAATTTATTGTACCTCACACGATTTTTAAAACGACTTTCGCAGAAAATACCTTTTTATACCCTCCACCATGGGTAGGAGGGTATATTAACTTTGTCATTCCGTTTGTAACACCTCTAAATATTCGTCGTAGACCCCATAAAGTATATATATTCATAATCAGCATAAAATTCTAAGACGATTTAGCGATGTCCGTCTGTCTGTCTGTCCGTCTGTCTGTCTGTTGAAATCACGATAGAGCCCACATTATTTGACGTAGACCTTTGAAATTTGGCACAAGTGTGTGTATTGTCCCTAGGATGGTTGGTATTGAAAATGAGATATATCGGTCCACGTTCTGGTATAGTCCCCATATAACGGTACCTCCCGATATTCGGTATTTTGATGATTTATGCCACATTTTTTCACGGATTTATCTGAAAATTGGTATTTGTAGGTCATGACGGGTCCCTGACCGTGTGGCAAAACATTGCATGTATAGGTCCACGTTTTGGTATAGCCCCCATATAACGGTACCTACCGATATTCGGTATTTTGATGATTTATGCCACATTTTTTCACGGATTTGTCTGAAAATTGGTATTTGTAGGTCACAACGGGTCCCTAAGCGTGTGGCAAAACATTGCATGTATAGGTCCACGTTCTGGTATAGTCCCCATATAACGGTACCTCCCGATATTCGGTATTTTGATGATTTATGCCACATTTTTTGACTTATTTGTGTTAAAGTTGGTATTTGTGGGTCATAATGGGTCCTAGTTCGTGTGGCGAAACATTGTAATTATAGGTGCACGTGTTGGTGTAGCCCCTATATAACGGTACCTCCCGATATTCGGCATTTTAATGTTTTTTGCCACATTTCTTCTAATGTTCTTTTACCCTAGGGTGGAGGGTATTAAAAGTTTGGCCCGGCCGATCTTAATGTTTTTTTTACTTGTTAATACTCCAACATCTTATCTCAAGCTTTTCACCTTAGTTTTCATTTGGGAATTTCCATTTTAGTGTGAATTTCAAAAAAAAAAAAAAAATTCCGAAAAAATGTATATGCAGGTCCACCTCAATATAACATTTATGATTTTAGCTTAGTTTTGTAACGGATTTCTTTTTTTGAAAAAATTCAAACAATCCACGAGATAGAACACAGTTGATAACCCTTGACTTATCATAGGCGTCTGATACAGTCAACCACGCCACATTGTTTAAGGATGTAGAGAGGACTATCCTTCGAAGGTTCTTCCAACAGGCGAATTCCATTTTTTTAAAACTAATTTTTGAAGAACGTAGAGAGGACTATCCTTCGAAGGTTCT